GCTTCTCCCTCTCCCACTTCCCCTGCTTGTGTTCCCTCTCTCGCTATGTCTCTCTCTGTCAAATAGATAAAATCTTAAAAAAAAAAAAAAAAAAATAACCACAATGCCATTACCACATCTAGATAATAGTTGATAATTTGTTAATAGCATCAGATATCTAATTCGTTCAACCACTTTTTATTTTTCTTAAAGATTTTTATTTATTTATTGAGAGAGAGCGAGAGAAAGAGAGCATGAGAGGGAGGAGGGTCAGAGGGAGAAGCAGACTCTGCGCTGAGCAGGGAACCCAATGCGGGACTCCATCCAGGGACTCCAGGATCATGACCTGAGCCGAAGGCAGTCGCTCAACCAACTGAGCCACCCAGGTGCCCCTCTTTCAACCACTTTTTAAACTTTAATTGAATTTTGAATGTAATTTTATAAGCTCCCTTTCCAAATCTTCTCTGCATTTTTGTGGTTTTGGGTTTTTTTAAGGATTTTATTTATTTATTTGTCAGAGAGAGAAAGTGCACGCACAAGCAGGGAGAGCGGCAGGCAGAAGGAGAGGCGGGCTCGATCCCAGGACCCCGGGTTCATGACCTGAGCTGAAGGCAGACGCTTAACCGACTGAGCCACCCAGGCGTCCCTCCTTTCTGCATTTTTAAATAAAGAGATAAAACTGCATCAAGAGGGGCACTTGGGTGGCTCAGTCAGTGAAATGTCCAACTCTTGATTTCGGCTCAGGTCATGATCTCAGGGTCGTGAGATTGAGCCCCGAGTCCAGCTCCTCACTCAGAGCCAAGTCTGCTTGGGATTCTCTCTCTGCCTCTCCCTCTGCCCCTCCCGCTTGTGCTTTCTCTCTCTCTCTCTCAAATAGATGAATGGATCTTTAAGAAAAATAAAAATAAAAACACTGGTTAACGACCTTGGCAACTTGTTTCCTCTCTGGGCATCGGTTAGTACCTGGTTTATAAACTCAGGAGGTGGCTCTGTAAGCGTCCACTGCGTTTGAGCCGTACCACACGGAAGACGGAGGAGTGGCCTCCTTCCTCACAGAGGAAGACTGAGGCTCGGGTGGTGACGTGCCTCAGGTGACAGTGCTGGGATTTTTGCTCTGTGCCAGGTGAGCTGATGTCTGGTTGCAGCTGGGAGATAGGCACATGGGGGTTCATTATACTGTTCTGGTTTTTTTCTTCAAAGTACTTTATGAATTACCTGAACTGCCTCATCATCCAGGGCAGCCCCCACGCTCGACCCACCACTAAAAGCCCTGGTTCCCCAGACTGTGGTCTCTTACTGCCATTTCCCACAAGATGCCAGAGCTCCCTGGGAAAGAGATAACTTCCTCGGGAAGAAATATGTAACAGTCTGGAACCTCTTATATCAGAAAGCAAGAAAAATCTATTCAAGACCATGCAGGTGTGTGTCAAAAGGATTCAGGAGCCAAACTGAAAAGGCTCCCACGGGCCAAGGCAGAGATAATGTGAGCATCAATAATAATTCCAGTGGATTGGAACACTGAAAATATTTCATCTGTGAGTTCATAATGATGATTTAAAAAAAAAAAAAACCTAAATGATCATACTTGAATGCTAGGAAGCCAATTCATTTTAAAAACTAGTAAACGGGCACCTGGGTGGCTCAGTCGGTTAAGCGTCCGACCACAGTTTCAGCTCAGGTCGTGATCGCAGGGATGTGAGATCGAGCCCCGAGGGAGGCTCTGCGCTCAGCGAGGAGTCTGCTTGAGATTCTCTCCCTCCCCCTCTGCCCCTCCCCAACATGCACTCTCTCTCATCTTTAAAAAAGAACGAGTAAACAAAGTATAGGTCATTTCTTAGGACGGTCTTCCAAACAGGCTGGAGATAGCGTGCAGAGCAGGGCTGGTGAAACAGGCAGAACCCGGCCAGGTCTGCCAGAGCGGAGGGAGAATGGTGCCCTGGGACCTTGACATATATAAACACAATGTCCCATATTTCTCGTACAAGCTAACCAAAGCCGGG